ATATAAATATATAAATATATAAATATATAAATATATAAATATATAAATATATAAATATATAAATATATAAATATATAAATATATAAATATATAAATATATAAATATATAAATATATAAATATATAAATATATAAATATATAAATATACAAATACATAAATACATAAATACATAAATACATAAATATACAAATATATAAATATACAAATATACAAATATACAAATATATAAATACATAAATACATAAATACATAAATACATAAATACATAAATATATAAATACATAAATATTTAAATATTTAAATATATAAATATTTAAATATTTAAATATTTAAATATATAAATATATAAATATTTAAATATATAAATATTTAAATATTTAAATATATAAATATATAAATATATAAATATATTAATATATAAATACATAAATATATAAATACATAAATACATAAATATATAAATACATAAATATATAAATACATAAATACATAAATACATAAATATATAAATAGATAAATATATAAATACATAAATACGTAAATATATAAATAGATAAATATATAAATATATAAATACATAAATATATAAATACATAAATATATAAATATAAATATATAAATATATAAATATATAAATACAAATATATAAATGTATAAAAATATAAGTATATCAAAATATAAATATATTTTATATTTATATATATTTTATATTTATATATATTTTATATTTATATATATTTTATATTTATATATATTTTATATTTATATATTTTATATTTATATATATTTTATATTTATATATTTACACGAATAAATATAAATATAATTTATTTGTAAATTATTTTCAAAATAACCTAATAGCTTAGTGGTTGGAGTATCAGCCTCCAACTTCGAAGTACTCGGGTTCGAATCCTGCCAATGACAATTCCCTTAATCTAATAATAATTCAAAGTTTTGAAAATATAATAAATAATAAAAATATAATATAAAGGGGAGGGGGTTCTAGGTAATAATAAAAAATAAGGGAGGGGTTTGTAATAAATAAAAATATTTTGTTAAGGTAAGTGCATTACCTACGGATTATAAATCCGTAGGTAATTACCTACGACCAAATTACCTACGGATTTTCTACGGAAAGAAATCCGTAGGTAAAGTGAGATTACCTACGGATTTTTGTCATTACCTACGGATTTTACCCGTAGATAATAAGCGTTTTTTTTGTAGTGTGAAAAGAAATCAGTTAATACAAATTTTACTCCATTGTCACTTCGAAAATATTTGAGTTTAGTATGAAATTGAGTTTGAATCAATAAAATGAAATGTATTAAATGTGTGCGGGTTTCAGATTTGGATTTCATAAATTTAATCAAGGTAAAACATGAGTAATCATCAACTAAAATGAGAAAAAATTTATAACCATAATTAGAAGGTACAGAATATGGTCTCCATATGTCTCCATGAATAATGTCACAAAATTGATGTAACTATGTTTCACTACTATGATGAGACAATTTGAGTTGTTTAGCAAAATGACAAATATTATAAGTAGAAGGATTTACAGAGTAAATAATAAAAAGATATTATTGAGAAATAATACTGAAAAATAGAGTCAGAGATATGACTTAATTTATGATGTCAAAGACAGAAATGATAATTTTTGTCATCCAACAAGGTAGAGATAAGAATGAGAATAAAATTTTTATTGAAAAGAAGAAATAAGGGATTAGTATAAAAGTTAGTACAAGGTTCAGACGTCATAGGAATTAGGAAATAACATATGATATTATCTTATTGTTCATATACATATAATAAAATTCATATGTTTCTTTATTAAAATTTCACACTCTAAAAAGAAGTACAAGATATATAATCCCATAAAACTGAAAAAAAAATTATTATAGCTAAAAATAATACAAGAGTAAAAATAGGATTTATTATAAAAAAAATTAATATAGGATTTATTATAAAAAAAATTAATATATGTGTTAGAGTAATATATTATTAGTAATATGATATCATAATTAAAATTTAATTTATTTTCACGTAGATGGTATCATAATTAAAATTTAATTTATTTTTAATCGTTATTTCGGAGTAAAAATTAACCTTTTGTTACAGATTAAAATATTTTTATCTATTTCTTAATTTATCTAGTTTTATGGCTTGCTAATTGTTAAATTGAAGTATATTTTTTATATATCAAAATTAACAACTAAAAGTTGTCAATTTTTTATATATCAAAATAATTTTTGTCTGATCCGTTTATACTTTGTCAATTAATTCACGGTATATTTTTCAGTAACTTTCTATCTTTTAACATATTTTTCCGTTGGTAAATATCATTAACTTTAATCTCAAATAATGAACTACAATTAACGTGGAGATTGATCGTTTAATCCATAGGAAATAATGATGGATGTATTGTTTTAATTTATTTGTCTAGTTAACATCACATGATTTGTAATTTTGTGAATTATATTGTTCTGTTACATTGTAGGCACCTATAAATTACTGCACTGTTAGCAGAAAGTTAAAATATAGTTTTAAACTAAACCAGGACATTAATATTGGGATATGTTAAGTTTTTTTAGTTATATTTTTGAAAAGATTAACATATTGGTCAAAGGGATGTTTCTCACTAAAAAAAGGTGCTTAAATATATTTTAAACCCATATAAATGGATCAATTTTCATTTTTTATATATTTTAGAAATTAAAGTTATATTAGTTAATATTAATTTTAAATTTAGATAGATATAAAAAATAACTTTGTATATGTCATGACGTCAAGGTTTCCAACATGAAAATTTTATCTGTATTACTTTTATTGTTTAGAGAGGAATATTTACTCTTGTATTAACATTCTAGAAAACAAGCTAGGTAACAGATGGCATCGACAATGACCCAATAACTTGAGACAAGTTTTGTCTGTTTTTCCCTTCTCATCCGGATCATGTTATGGAGTTTAACAGAAACCTAGAATGAAGTCACAGTAACAGTGGCATATGTTTCAGCATGTTATATATCAATTCTCGTATTGTAATGCTTCTGCCAAGTGTGTGGTTGGTGTGTGCCACTGTCTCAACTCCTAATTTACAACTTTCCAATCACTGTTTCATCCATCACACACGCAAAAATAAGAATTAATTAATGAAAAAGTTATTTGATTGAGTATGCTTGTGCCAACATCATCCTCATTCATCATTCAACACATGGATTCTGAAATGGAATATAAAGTTGTCATTTGTCCAAACATGATGTAAACTAAGAAAAGTTTATTAATAATGTTGGTATTTATTAGACCAGTTGATTCTTGTTAATTTTAATAAAGGATAACAAGATCAAAAACTTATTTCAACTCAGTGACTTTTGGAAGTGATAAAACATTGGGAAATAATGATTTTGCATTTTTTATTTATGTCCCTATGTTGTGTCTTGATGTTCATGTTGGTTTTTAGCCACAGAATCAGAAGGCCTCAATTATATAAGTATGGTGTGATAGGTTCATATATGGTCCCCAAATATGAAATGGAGATTCCTGAATGAGACTACACGTGATCATCATATATATTGTCAATAATTCTAAGACCAGAACAGAACTAACTCAGAGCAATGGGACATGCTAATTAGTTAATGAATTATATATAAAATTAATGCAGGTACAATTTGAAGTACTAGAGTGTTCTTCCTGTTCTATAAAATCTCTTGTTTTGTAATTTGGTGATCACAGTTATAAAATCTTTGACTAACTTATCAAGGGACAAATCTGTTTGCCACTGTTCAACACTTCGAATGGATCTATCTACATAATTGATTGCTAAGATCAAAACCTGTTAAAGCTTACTGAATTATATATATATATATATATATATATATATATGTGTGTGTGTGTGTGTGCAAGAAATCACGTAAAACCATGCACATTAATTAGCAGGAGACTTTTATATTGAATACAAGTTTGTATTTTTTTGTTTTAGTAATTTAGGTTGATGTAAATATTGATGATGCAGAATGTAAAAATAACTAAACCGAGGCGTTTCAAAAGAAACCAAGAACGATTCAGACAATTGATCAAAATTCACATTTTTTTAAACTAATATGAAAAAGCTTCTACCATAAACTTATGTATAAATAATTTAATTTATGAAAAAGCCATTCATTTTTTCCTCTTATTTTTATGTGATTGTATTTGATGATAAGAAACAAAAATTAAGTCAAAAGTGTTTTAAAATAAATATGACATCTTAATGTACTCTATATGTATGATTCATGGGTATATGTGTAAGGGACTGTTGTCTCGGTTTATCTTTAGTTTGACCTTAGTAAAAATTTTGATAAAAAAAATAAAAACTCGAATCAAATTTATCTGCATAAGCACTACCAAAAAAATTACATAAATACAATTTATTCTTTAATTAGGAATTACATTAATAAGGCATTTTTAATGAATTTGTTTTCTTTTTAGACTGTTGAAAATTAAAAGTGAACAACGTGAAATTAGAGTTTTTTGTTTTATTTGATTTAGTTTACTTGCTTAGCTTTTTTACTTATGTTTTAAAGAAACAACTTTTTTATAATTTATGCTATTAGAATTAAATCTATATTTTGGACTTACATGTCGTATTTTTTTAATGATCAAGATGAAAAAAATGAAAAAAAAAAAACTTTCCATGGATATCCACTGATGCTTTGAAAAACCACGTGTAATCATCAAATCTAGAATCAACAACTTCCCAAGCTGAAAAAAGTGAATTTATATATATCTAAGGAAGAGGAAATCAAGAAGAAAAAAAAATTCTTTGCAAGAAGCAAGATCTACCAATTGCCTAACTAAGAATTATACACTAGATACACTGTCCATTAGAAGCAGCAAATAAGAAGTTAAAAATGACTGCATCTAGCAATTAAGGAGTCCATAACATCCTATTCTACATCTAAACAAAATACACTGAACAAATTACACACAAATTGACAAAACTCAAAGCAAAACACATAGCACATTATGATTCCACTGCCATCATAGAAACCGAGTCTGGTTCACGACCATGAACTCTGAACCGATATATACACGTGTGTGAAGGGCTTCCATGGTTGGATGTAAAATCGAGCCTTACCGTGTTGATGACACCAAAAGCTGCGGAATTCAACACGTTGAATGTTTGAGCATTGCTCTTCTCAAGGTCATACGTAAATTCTGATAGAAGATACATCTTTTCAGTGTCAATTGCAGAATCAGCATTAAGACCCTGCAGCCAACCAGAGACCCTGCAGTCTTTAGGGGCACTTGATCTGTCATATGCAACGCTCTGTTGAAAACAAAAATTATTAGAGTAAAATTTAAAAATGTAAACAAAAATTGGGGATTTACTAAGGGGGCCTTTACTTATGATTCCATAAAAAAAAAATTCTTAACTCATCAGTGCTATTGTATTCACATCACCTAAGTTTCTCAACTTATTAGTGCTATTGTATTCACATTTGCTCCTATCAATACACTTAAGAAATGACAAGGTATCCTATAATAGCATCTAATAATGAATCTTAAAACACTAAGTTGTACAACAAAATAAGGATCACCGTACACAAAATATATTAGAGATTGCTTGATATCTGATGTATTACTCTAAGAAATTGAGTCAACTTCAGAAATTTCTTAGATATAGACAAGTACTTCAAATAAATGTAACATACATCTATGTAGAAAGACAATAGACGTAGACATGTTTAAAGTCCCAATAAACATATGCCCAATCAGAAATTTATTATCTTCAAAGAGTAGTAAACTAAATACTAGCAGATAAGAAATAACATGCAACAAAAGAATATGCAGGTTAGATGAAAAACATGCAAAAATTACAAGCAAGGTAGCCACCAAAAATGAGAAAATACGTCAAAATTTCATATTCATCCATACCACACAAATATCAGATATACATATGATATGACACAGATAAACAGCCATATTTGCATATCCATGAATCAAAACAAGGTATCTTTCACAATAATTCAATGAAATTCACCCCTAATGACCCCATCCAAGGTAAAACCGCTTCTAGCAACTTCTAGAAGGAATAGATCAATAGATCCTCATTCCTCACTAAAAACTTCAGTTAATAGCCAACTCTAACTAACTCACAAAAGTAAATGATCACAACAAAATATGCATATTGGTATCATGAGTTTCATCTATCAGGCTACATCAAAGTATTTATTTCTTCTACAGAGAATCGTTCAAATACAAAATGAGCCAAACTTTTTCGATAACTATCAAAAGAAATTCGGCTCTAAGCATAGTTGTTATAGTTACTTCCAAATTATTCTATTTTCTAGTGTCATGTCAATGTGAATAAATGCAATGGACTGCAATCTCTTTTGCCCGTATCATGAAATATTATAGGTCAATTCAAAGAAATATGCAAAATGTAGCATATCATTCACAGGGAACGCTTGCAGCACTAAATAGGAGATGTGAACCCTGTAGTTAAACTTGGCTCAATATCATCATGATAAAAAAAATATCCAGAAGATGACCAACCAACCACATTTAATTTTAAAAGGAAAAACTGCACAAGCTAAAACATATGACAATCTCCCCAATGACATGCACAATAAGCTACATACTCCCATCAATCCAAATGCCCCATTAATTATTTCTTTTATGACCTGTTTGATTTGAAATATAGCATATGGATAAGGAGGGAAAAACTTATCTTTTACAAACTACACCAACGAGTCACCCAAAGGCCAAAACTTGTCAATAAAATAATTACATCTATGTAATGTATTAAGGGCTTAATAAACTTAATCCACCGACACATCCAATTGCAAATTCCTAAACCGAGTTTGCCACAAGCAGAAAGAGGGTCAGGTACATAAACATGGGATACGCATAATATATTTGCACACTATTCTAAAATTTACATAAATAAGGAAGAATACGAGAACAAATTACATTATATACCTTAATAACAGACTGCCATTCACACAAAAATGTTTAGATTTAGAATGAAAATACATCACCTTTGCTATATGTTCCAAGGTGACAGCCTCAGGAATGATGGCAGTGCGCAGCCTAATCTGAACAAACCCTCTACTATCCTTCAAAGGGAAACACTGCCCGGGCTCGCCAAAGCTCGGTTTCAACATCTTCTCCGCAGTGGGGTGGACACCACTCCTAACAGACTTGAACCAATTTCCCTTCCCTGTATTATACACCTCCGAATGCTTCACCACTGCGCCTCCGCCACTGGCTAGGGCATAATCCACTCTCCCAAGCCCATCAGCAGCATGTTTCTCAATCTCCTTCTCAATCACTCCCCTTGCAAAATCCCTTATTTCATCCAAACCACCACCCTGGTACCCACCTCCCTTCACACTCCTCACTTCCTCAACAAATTTCTCAAACTCTTCCTTTGATAACCAGTCCTCCCCTTTTAACTCACTCAAATACCTCTCCAATTCCTCACTCCTTGCCTCCAATTTCTTCAATCCACTTTCCAAAATCATCCCTTTCTCCTCAATTTTCTCATTTAATTCCTTCCTTAACCCTCTGACCTCGCCCTCAATCTTCTTATCCACCAAATCAACCTGCACTTGAATCATCTTTGCTGTTTTTTTCAACAACCCCTCAACATCCGAAATCCGCCCCTCGAATTCCGAAAACCCGGCATACCCTCCGACCGCGGCGTCACCGGAATTCAACGCTAGCCGCCGGATCAACTGAACCAGCCCGGCAAGCACCACCAACAGCACCAAATTCTTCCCGAAAATGCTAACCACCGTGAGCCACCGTGGCTTCTCGGCTTTCACGGCGGACTTCCGCGTCCGCCGCGTCGGAGCCAAAGCCGAGTTTCCACCGGCCCCGGCGACCTTCTTTGCCGGAGCCAATTCCCGGGGGATCCGGTCGGAGAGAGCCTCACCGCGGATCGAGTGGTGGCTGAAGTCGCGCCCGGCGCCGTCGCCGGAAGTCGCGACGACGGGAGAGACGGCGACGTCGTTGGCGAGGAGTTCGATGTTGGTGGTGGTTTTCTTCTCGGCGGCGAGCACCGGTCTCCGACGCGCCCCTGGGTTCGTCGCCGTGATGGACACCGTGGAAGCCGACATCGGAATTGTCGAAAACCCCTTCTTAATTCAAAGACCGAGTTTGAAAATATCTTAAAAATAAAGAAAAAATGTGTAAAAAAAAATATAGGAAATTGGGAATGTTGGAAACCCTAGTAAAGCGTGGTGGTGAAGGAAGAATGGAGAGTAAGAAAAAAGAAGAAGAAGAAATTAGAAGCAGAAGCGAAAGCGAGAGCGCGTGTTTTACACCGTCTCGTGTCGTGTGTTTTATGAGATCTGAAAACAAGCAAAATGATGAAGACGAAAGGATTTGAATATTTATTTTAAGGTTTTTATTTTTAAGCCCTTCTTGGAGCGTCATCAAATTTTTGATTCAGAAGTGAGGGAGGGAGAAAGTTCAAGCGGGATTTGTAGTTTGGGCTTGACTCTTTATTTGGGCTTACAGTTTCTTGAGCCTAAGTGGAACAATCGGATGTGCGTTTTCTTTTTCCACTCCTTTTTTTCTCCTACACCTCTAATATTTTAAAATTTTGATATTTTCAAATCTAAAAACTATAATTGATACGATTGTCATTTTATTAAAAATTCAAAAATATTTTTTTTAATTAGAGAAGATATGAGTATAGGTGTTGTTTAGTATAATAAATTTAATTTTCCTCTGTTTTTTAATATTTATATTTTAGCATTAAATATTTATCTAACTCTAACAATATCCATGACTACTTGATAGAAGATTTAGAACTCGAATAATTATACTAATTTAAATTTCTTAACATTAATAGTAAAAAATGAAAATATAAATGATCCAAAACAAACTCTTGAAAACTCTCATACATGAAAGTCAAAGTTAACCATAAGTAGATAAATACGTTAATCATAATCCTACATCAAATTCCATATATTCATCCAACTAATGATATATGATTCATTCTGAAACTTTAAAATTTTATTAATTAAGTAAGTAATAAATCATAACAATTAAAATAGAATTCAAAACAGGTGAAATTTTACTAGTAATTAAAAACAAGTGAGTTTTAATAACAATTAAATAAAAAACTTTTACTAATAATATTAACAAAAAGTCAGGATGGCCGAGTGGTCTAAGGTGCCAGACTCAAGTTCTGGTCTTCGTGAGAAGGCGTGGGTTCAAATTCCACTTCTGACATTTTTTTTTCATTATTAAGTTTTGGTTTTTTTTTCCTTCAACATTTACTAAGATTAACAGCTTTTGTTAAATCCAAAAAAGTGAAGGTCCATACAATATCCATTATTCGAGACCCTAGGTAGAGCATTCATAATTTTTTTTCAGATTTGGAGCGCTGCTCTGGTAAGGCAGGCAGAGCAGGAAATTATTTCCTGCACAGGGAAAATAACAACGACACATGATGAACAACAAGCTTAGTTGTGGAGGGAAGAGAGGAAACACACGTTACTACTATTATCTAGTGTGCACCACCTGATAAGTCAATATTGATTATTCCAACACCTTAATGCCCCCACTAGGGTCACAAGCAAGCACTACCAAGCTCGGCAATTAGTGAGGTTAATCAAATGATTTATATACACTAATTTATTTCAATATCTGTCTGATGTGGGTCACTTTTCCATCAAGTTACTGTTTATTCATGAACAGTCAAGTTTGTCGTTGGCTACTAGGGTAATTTGCATGGCTTTATTCCATCTGACATAATTCTTACAACAGATGAATATAGATAGTAAACATCAGCTCAAGGCTGTGCATGGATGCAGGAAGTAAAGGACAACAAAAAGTCCATACTTCTTATAGCAAAAGGTTATTTTAAAATAACTCTAACAACATATGACAAATTTCGATTAAAACCATTTATATTGTGTAAGTATTACAATTATCTTCTTAAGCAAGAGGTTAACCGTTTTAATTTAAACATCTTCTTCATCATATATTGTCCCAATGTATAAAAATCCCGAGATGTGGGCATGCTTTACTGCAACCTACTTGGTTCTCTCCACAGAACTTCGATCATCTTTATCTCTGCCTGAGGATACAATACAACCTCCAGGTTGTTCCTTGGCAAGGTCCACATTTGACAGATCACTTAAAAGCTCAGTCTATATATTCCTCATGAACGTCTCTCAGGGTAAATTCATTGTTTTTCTTACTCTAGCTTTATTAAAAATAAAAGCTGATATCCGAAAGAATTGGTTTTTTATTTACAGCATTGCTTTTTGGAATTTGTGTATTTTATAAACTAATTGTTTTGGACTTGGGTCTTTTATTAGTATCATAACTGAGACTATATAATTCGAACAATTCAGGTCCCATTTTATTTAAAATTTATGTAGTAATAATATATAATTCTATTAGTGTAAAGTTCTGGATTTTTTTTTCAAACATATATATTAAAAAATACTAGTCAAATTTATTCAATTCTTATTATTCACAATTAAACTTGTAATTTGGGATAACTTGTTCTCAAGTTTGACAAAAAAAAATCAAGTTAACCAAGACAAGTCCAAATTTTCTTCAATTTATAAAGTTATAATAATATGTAATTTCAACTTTTGTTTAGTTCTTATCTAGACTTTATATTTAAATTAAAATTTAAAAATATTAATATTTTAAAAATATTTAATTTTCTTTTTTATTATATGTAAAGCCTTTTCTTTACTAGTATTCTACATTTGTATTTTAATATATATATATATATATATATATATATATATATATATTAGAATGAAAAAAATCAAAATGATTGGAAATAAAAACAAATTCGAGTTTTCCTAATTTAAAAAGTTGAAATAACTCTTAGTCCAATTTTTTTCCTCGTTAAAATTTAAAACTATTAATATTTTAAAAATATTTAATTTTTTTCATTATATATATATATATATATATATAAAGCCTTTTTGTCCGAAAGTAAAACCCAATGCCTAAAGTGAAGGTACTTATGGCTGAATGAAACTTTGTGTAAACTAAGCAACCAGACAACTTGGAGGTCTTTCATCAATTTCAGCTCCTAGTTAGTGATACAGGTTCATATAACGTAGCTGATCGAGCTTAAGACTTTGCCAATAGCTTTAAAAAAACGCTTAAAAAAATATATTGTCAGAAGTGGGATTTGAACCCACGCCTTCTCACGAAGACTAGAACTTGAGTCTAGCGCCTTAGACCACTCGGCCATCCTGACTTTCTATTAATGTTGTTTCATAAATATATTTTATTCCATTAATATGTTTTTCATCCTGACTTTCTATTACCCCACTTGGTCCACACAAGCAAGTGCAACTCTACGACGTATTTTGTTAGAAGTTAATAAAGAACAAATTATTTTCTGACTTGTCTGATGTGGGTCTCAAATACAAAAAATATTAGAAGATTGCAAAATCATTCAAATTTTTACTTACATTGTTCACTTCCATCTTATTAATTTGTTAAGAGAAGATTATAAATTAATTTCACTTAACCCACATGACAAATAAAATATTATCTATAAACATGTTGATAAGTTAAATCGACTTAAATATTAACTTATTTATATTATAGTGTTTGATTTTTTATTTTTTTTTAATTAGAAAAAAATATAATTATCTATTTTCTTATTTTGTCAAATCAAATAACAGTCGTGTTTCCTTTAATTTTAACATAAATCATTGTCTCATTTTAGACTTCAATAATTTTTTTCTCCCATTGTAAATTTGTGGTTTTTGAATATGTTATTTTTGTTCTGGAATAAAAGTGAGATGATCCTTTTTTCCTAATTTACTCCCTTTTTATCTTTTTCTCCGTGTAGTTTGTTTTTATTATTTCCCCTATTATTGGCCCCGATACCGCCTAATTCTAACCACCCTGGTAGGGTCGGGCCTATTAGGTAATGGTTTAGCTCAGTCTTCCTTTATGGACCTATTCGGCCCACTACCAATAATTAGAATTTGGGCCCCCTAGTCTTGTATTAGAAAGATATTCTAATGCAAAGACTAAAATCGAAATGAAAGTTCCATCCATCTTTTTTCCTTAAGCGTAACTAATCTCGACTGTAATTGGAAGTATCCCAAAGTATTGAATGTGTATAATGATATTTGCCTTCTTGGTCATGCCTCAACCCATTCCTATGTTATTTGACTTGGTCTCTAATTTTCAAACGTTTCATCTTCCAAAAGCAAATGTCATATCACCTGACGTATTACCCTATACTTCAAATTTCGCGGCTATGCTTTTTACTTCACTTTTCTATTTACCCTATTTTGTTCTTCCAAGACGCTTCATTTCCCTCTTCCCTTCGTCTCTTCATTTCGCACAACTCTCAACCTTTAAGACTTTCGTGTTGAACATTCAAGGACTTGATGTTGCAAATAATGATCATGAAGAATGTTGATTTTGATGATGATCCAAGAACTTAAAGACTTAGAGTATTGAAGATTGAAGATTGATGATTTCTGTATTGTAATAACTCTGTTTTAGTTTGATTGAGTCTGTAATTATAGAATCTAAGATAGCCGGTACATAGTCTGTAACTTAGAAGCTTCAAAATGCTCAAATTTATCATGCAGTGCTCGGCTTTAATCGATTATATAGGTAAATAATCGATTAAAGCAGATGAGAAAACCACTTTCTATACAAAGTCACTCGTTTTAATCGATTAAACGACAAAATAATCGATTATTTTGTACTTGTTCAGTACGAGATAATCGATTATTTCACCAAATAATCGATTAATCCGAGAGGTTTGGGTTCCGACGTATTTGGCTCTCGTTTTAATCGATTATCACTCCAAATAATCGATTATTTCAATCTGTTTTTCATTTTAAATTTCAAATTAACCCTATTTTCGAAAACCCAATTACCAAGAACCCTAGTTTCGAAATCCCCAATTTCTAAACCCTAATTTCCCTACTTAAACTCTGCTTTGGCACTCGAGAAAGCAAGAACAACCTTTTCCATACAAAAGTTAAGTGCTTGTGAGTGCCAGGAGAACTGTTTGTTGCAAGGAAAGGGGGCTTTCTGAACCTGGTGTGGGCTAGAAGCGATAAGAATCACTAAGTGGAGTTCTTAGTGGATTGTGTGC